CACACACACACACACACACACACACATACATTGTTTGTACGCATTCTCAATATTGTACACATGGACCTCATGCGAAGGCGACAGCTTTGATGGTATTATGCTAGACGACTGTGTTGAGATGGACGTTAAATGGGTGAGGCAGCGTGGTGGAATCAGGCTCTCGTCAATTTTTGGGCATGTAGAGTTATTGTTATCATCGTAAAGCTTGTTTACTTATCTTTATTTGAAAAAAAAATATCCGTATATCTTGAAAAGAAGCCAAGATATTTGCAAATGAAGGAGGTGGGGGTCACCTTGTTTTAGAGGTAAAATTAATGAGAAATTGCCCCCCCAAAGGTTAGTTATTTCTTTAGCTTAAGAGTCCGTGGTAACTAAAAATTTACATTTTTTGTGCCTTTAATTAACGTTTATCAGTCAAACCCTCACATAAATGAATTCTTTAAATGGCATGAAAGGTGTTGAGCTAAAAACCCAAATTTTAATTTAAATTCACAAACCTGTGGAAAAATGCCAGTTTCTTCACTTTGATTATTTTGACGAGAGCCTGATTCCACCACGCTGCCTCACAAATATTAAAATTTGAAGTCCCGCTTCCGAAAACAAACGACATAGAAAAGATACCCCTTTCGAAATAGCAATAAGTACTTTTCCCACCCTCAAAACTCTTTAGCAAAATCCTGAAATTAAAATAATATGAGTTTCTGTCGATATTACTTTTTTGTACCCAAATCCTGCCACAATTCTTTAATGAAAACACAAACTTATTTCTATTCGCACAACTTTACCTTTTTCCACACTGCTGAAGTAAAGCCAAGGACTTTACAAATGTATAACATCCTTGAGTAAAGCCAGGTCATAACCGAACAGATAAGGGGTCAAGAACCCTTCCCTCTCACCTTCCCCCCACCCCTGCCTGTCCTTGCAACCACCCCACCCAACCTCCACCACCATTTTGTCGACTGAAAACAATGCTCTGGTTGAAGCGGAGACAAAAAAGGATCATCTCCGGTTGAAGTAACATCATTTCGTCAGCACTCGCTTGTTCAAGATGTGTGTCTGTGACTGGCGCTGGGGGGACAACGCCTGTTAATTAGACTTGACCTTGGCTAACCTTTGTGGTCACAGAAAAAAAAGAAAGGGAAAAATGTCGGAGATCCCAATGCTATTGTTTTCCCTTAGTCCCACTCTCTCTTTGTCTCTCTCTCTCTCTTTGTCTCTCTCTCTCTCTCT